TGATTCCTTTAGTGGGACGGTGGGGGGTCTTTATTTTCTTGAACCCTTTCAGACCCCCGCCTCACTTTCTTGCCTTGAAACTTATTTTTCTCCCCCCTGCTTTTTCTTCTGTAGTATTTACAGTATCATGGTGGCATTAAGCTAAAATTATGAGACAGAGCTAGTAGGAAGATGTCCTGTGTAGGAGAGAAATTAAAAGTTTCCATTCCCGTTACTTTTTCTTCTTTTTGATTTTTTTTCCATTTTATGTAACCAGTCAATGTTTTAAAAACATTTTCATGAGTTGGGGTGAAAATATTTACCAGAATTCTAATAAACATTTTGTTACAAGACGAACTTTTGGAAAATGCTCCCCTAAATCTGTATTTAAAAAAAAAAATGAGCCAAATCTAAATTTGAAATGTGGAATCAAATTAGAAATTCAGGATCCAGAAATCCAAACTACGTTGTGCTTATACTATAGTATATTTACTGGGCAGCTGGCATTTTGGAAATTTGCTCAAAAGAGAAATGGGAAAAGTAAGTAAATAAAGAAACAAAAATGCCGAATGCCAAGAATTACCTAAAGCTTCAATAATAAATACAGTACCGTTTCAAATCGCAATTTTTGGAAAATCAGCAAATATAGCCTGTGCATGGCCAGGAATAGTCAATAGCGCTAAAAACGAGCCATCTGAGTTTGCAAAACAATTGTAGCACAGTGTAGTTATATTCTCCATTCTTACTCCAACTTGGGTTCTGAACTAATGTGAATGTTCTTTATTCCAATTAAATGGATTTGGGGAACTTTCAGGTTTGGTTTTTATTGTGCATTTCTCCTGCTTTGTATCACAGCTCTTTAAGGAGGTTATTGGCAGATTTTAAATTGTGTCTGTACTAAGGGCAAATGGCTATTTTAAGAGATGAATTCTTTTTTTTTTCCAGCTGTCCCTGGATTTATAAAAGAAACATGAGTATATTTCATAACATCCCATCCTATTCTGTTTTTGCCTATGTCCTTCTACTGCCAAAATTAGGGTTTTTTAAAAAGCATTTCTATAATCTTTGCTGGCTGGCAATATCTCAACGAATTGAATATACCCTCTGATCTCAGCTTCTCATTGGCTCTGTCTCATATAATTTTAGCAGCCCTGACAGAACACTTTAATTCTTAAATGGGCTATATACAATCCAACTCCTTTCCCAAGGCCTCTGTCCTTTTTACAAAGAGCCCAGTCCCCTCCCCAATATACAAGGCAGTTCTATGTATGTGTGTAGGTGTGTGTATGTGTGTGTGTGTGAGAGAGAGGGGGGGGAGTTGAGAAGGAAATAATGGTGAATAGAGAGTACTGTGTTATTGATTGAAGGTAGCAGGAATTGGGGGGGGTCTCATAAAATAGGCAATTTGGATTATATGGTTGCAGTTGCCATCTTGACTTTAAAAAGGGGGGGGGGCTTTCCTTGCCCAGGATGCCCCTGAAAGGCAGAGGAGTGCGACGACACCAGGGTTAGGACCTGCCACCTCAACATTTGAACAAGGAGCAAGCTTAACAGAAATTAGTAATTGGGATGGAGATGGGAGCCAAAAAAAACCCTTTCATAACCCAGTGGGCAGCAAGATATTCATGCTTGATCCTACAACTTGGGGCCTTGAGATAGGGTAGGTTGTGGGAAGTCTCCAAAATAAGTCCTATTTCTTTTTTCTCCTTTTCATCCTGTTCGAGCGGATTCTTTTCTCTCAGCTGGGAGGGGAAGCACAAGTTGTAAGGAAAAGTGCATGTCCGCGTGCACGTGGAGTTAGATACGATCTACTGTATATCCCTTCTGCCATGTTTCCTAGCTGGGTCTGCCTATCTCTTTTGTGAATCCATTCTTATTGTTTGTATACACACACACATGAAAATGCACATACACATCTCCTCTTCTCTCTGATAGTCTAAACTTCCAATGTTCTATCAACCCTGGGAGGAAGTCAAAATATTACTTAGAAATTAAGTAATGAATTTATATATATATAAATTAATCAACAAGGTCTCTTCAAGAAAAGTGATTCTGACTACCTTGGGGAAGGATCACTTTATATGCTATAAACACAGATACGTTCTATAATCATTTTGCAAAGAAAAAGCTCACGCATCCATCATTGTAAGGGAACCTGCAATTATTTCAGGTTTTCAGGGTATGGTCATCAACAGATGGAGCTATCCAAATCAGAGAGGCATCTGGGTTGAGTTTTAGACACATAGTCCAAACCAGGATATTAAATGTACAGGTAGTCCTTACTTAATGAGCACAACTGAGCCCAGAATTTCCTCTTAAGTTTTTGTGGTTGTTAAGTGTGACTTGATTTTTACAACTGTTTTTACAAGCAAATCATGTGGTCATTAAGCAAATTGATTCTCCTGAATGGACTTTTTTTTGCCAGAAGCTAGCAAAAATTAGCAAATTGGGGTCATATGACTGTGGGAGATTGGAACCAGTCGTAAATGCGAGTCAGTTGCCAAGCTGCAAGAAATGTGATCATGTAGCTGCAGGGAGGAGGGTGTGTTTACATTAGTTATAACTTAAGGACAGGTTGTAAGTAACTTTGGGGGTGATCTGTTGTAACTTCAAATGGTCATTAAGTGACCTGTCATTAAAAGAGGAGTGTCTATGTAGGTAGTTCTCAACTTATGACCACAGTTGAGCCCAAAATTTCAGTTGTTAAGTGAGATTATTATGAAGTGAGTTTTGCCCAATGTTACAAGTTGTCTTGCCACCGTTGTTAATTGAATCACTGTAGTTGCCTAGTTAGTAACAAGACTGTAAAGTGAATCTGGCTTCCCCATTGACTTTGCTTGTCAGGTCACAGAAAGTGATCACATGACCCCAGGACATTGCAACCGTCATAAATGAGCCAATCACCAAGCTCCAAATTCTGATCACATGACCATGGAGATCCTGCAATGATCTAAGTGTGAAAACTGATCATAAGCCACTTTTTTCAGCACCATTGTAACTTTGAACACTCATTAAGTGAATTATTGTAAGCTGAGGTCTACCTGTATGGATGAAACTAACTGACCGTATCTTCAGGAATTTAAGGATAGATTTAAGTGTTTGCCAGGAATGAGGATATATGAGGTATGTGTATAAAAGTGGGCAATGAAAAGCAAGGCTGAATGATTGACTATGAGCTCAGGTCTCTGTGTTATAAAGGATGGCACCCTTAGAATCTGGGTTGAGAAGTAGTAGATGGTATATAAATTTCTGCACAAATAGGATTAAGAACAATGCAACAATTCATGCAAAGGTTATAGCCGTGAAAGGGGATGCAGAAAGTGGCATACACAACGAAGAAATGAGACATAAATAACAGTTTATCTGCAAAATAAGTCACCATGTTTATGAATTCCATTAACAAGAAAATTTCCATTATTAATACGGAAGAGCTGGCTGGGTGATTCTAGGAATTGAAATCTGTACGTTATAAGATTGTTATAGTTGTCCACTTCTGTGTTAGAAGGTATATGAAGAGATGGTATTATTTTGGGAACAATCCATTTAGAGGCTGCCATCTTTTTCAAAAGATTTCAGGCATGCTGTGATTTAGGAATGGTTAGTTCTCTTTACTGTTCCTTCCAAAGAATCATGGAACTATTCAGTATTCTTTGATTGCCGGAATTATTTTCACACTTGCAGAAATCCATCTGGGACTCTTTCCCACTTAGCAAAAAATGTATTGTTAACTTCAATTGGTTTTAGAGGTTTTATCTCCAAATCTTTCTGGAAGACACAACCTTTCTATTTTCTACATAGTTAAATATATTCAATATAATATTAACAGTGCATATATATGCACCAGACCTGGTATAATCTAAGAGGGGGAAAAAAGAGGAAACATTCTTCTGTGAACAAGATAAACTTTACATTTATTAATTTTCCATCACAAAAGAACTGAAATTGGGCCAGGAAAAATTATTCTGTAAATACAGCAATTAAAAGTTGTCAGGGAGGAAGATAGAAACTTTTGACCCCTTTGTGGTAGAGTATAATTTAGGCAAAGTTTTAAGAAAACATAAAATGAAGAGGGCAACTTTGGATTTTCAGATCTGGCCTTCTAATGGGATTATTCAACTTCATTAAATATTAGGAAAAGCAAATTCCTTTTCAATCAGAGGAAGGACACTCAAAGTTGTTAACTTCTAAGAGATGTAAATAAACTGGATTCACTCTGATGAATGTAGATCTAGTGTATACACAGATACACACATTTTAAGAAGTTGGGTATTTTCAGAAACTGGATAGTATCATCATCTTGCACGTCTGAAAGAAACAATTCATGCAAATGTAGGTATATCTGTTCTGTAGATTTTAACTGCTTAAACCGGTTTTAGAATATAAGTACATGTAGTTTAGTCAGCTTTGAGGTAACAAGATATACTCTGCAAAATGGTTGGGCAGCATCTTTATCTGCTTTCTTCATTTGTTCTCATTCATAGCTCAGTTGGCAATGATGGAAGAAGAGGAGGAAATATATTCATTTTTTATCTATACTAAGGAATCAATAGTCCTACTAGGAGGAAAAAAAACACTTTTCATCACTTTTCAATTTGTAACGAATTCTTCCATCAAGCTGGTTTGGGAGGTGAGCTAGCCAATTGGAAAGTTACTAGCAGAAAATTAAATAGATTTTCTTTAAAAAAAAAACTATTTAAAAAACAAAAGAACAAATGCAGGAGATGATAAGTAGATCTTTTAATGAAAAACACTGGGGCTAACTTCCCTTTAAGAACAAAAAAGGCTGAATCCTTATAAAGGACACCTAGGATACTTTCTCCTTTACCACAAAATTATATGGAACCAAAATAGGATGGCCAAATAAGAAGACTTTTCAAATGAGAAAATGATAGGTCAGGCAATGTTTTGGGTTCTCTTTCCCTCACAGCCAAATTCTGAGGACCTCATGCAACGTTTTTCCACCAAAAAAATAAAAATAATAATAATCAGGCCTGGTGCATAGATTCATCAAGACGCCACTTTCAGAGCGAAAGAGTTTGTACCGATATCTGCACATTCTGGGAATTCTCGTCTGTACATCGGGGCTGCACATGGATTGAGCAGCCGCCGATGTGCCAGAAATCCACCGCAAAAAGGCCAAACAGTAGGAAGAGGTCCATGGCCATGGCCCATTCGCAGTAGGCCGCCTCAGAATCCAGTTGCAGGAAAAAAAGGGCAACCGCTGAAGTTGAAAAGTCAAGTCATCATAATTTCCAGTTAGTAGAATCAAATTCACAACAGATTTGGAGAGGGTGAGATATACTCCAGGGATGGCTTCAGTCTGTTTTCCTTTGTGGGAAAACACAAACTGGTTTCACAGTAATCTTGCTAAGCCAGGGATGAGGAACAGACGGGCTGCCTATAACCCTTGGAACTTTTGAGCTCCAAGATTATACAGGTAGTCCTCGACTCACGGTAAAATTGAGCACAACGTTTCTGTTGCTAAGTGAGATATTTGTTAAGAGAGTTTCCTTTTTTTGCATTGGTTGTGAAGGGAATCACTGCAGTTATTCAATTAGTAACACGGTTGTTAAGTGAATCTGGCTTCCTCATTGATTCTGCTTGTCAGAAGGTCGCAAAAGGGGATCATGTGACCCCACTGGGACAACGCAACCATTGTAAAGATGAATAAGTTGCCAGGCACCTGAATGTTGGTCATGTGAGCCTAGGAATACCACAGGGGTCATAAGTGTGAAAAACATTCATAAGTCACTTTTTTTCAGTGCAGTTATAACTTTGAATGGCCATTAAATGAACTGTTGTAAGTTGAGGACTACCTGTACCACCAAAACTGGCAGCAAATTTCAGCAACCCCGTTGTTAGCACTTTCTAAGGAAATTTTTACGCATTAAAAACACCAGAGTAAAAATATTTTTAACCAGACCCATTCTCCTCCTCCCTGAAAATCAGGGCCCCAAAATTTGGATCGCAGCCCTTACAAAGATACCAGCTACCACTAATCCTCAAAATCCTCCAACATTGAAAAATGTGAAAGTATTCTTTTAACAGCGAAAAGGTTGCTTATGGCTGGGTAAAACTATCTTAACTAAGCCAGAAATGGCTGGATTCAGAACACCTCTACAAAAAAAGCACCTCTACAATCCACAAGAACTGGGGTTCATGATTAAAGAGTAAACCATAATGTGGATTGGTTGGTACTAAAGAAAGGTCAGATCAGTGAGAACGTATCTATTCCTTCGAAAAGAATTGAACTCAATTGCAGCTTAGGTAACGTATGAATCTTGTCAAGGGAGCAAGATTCGCCCTTCTTTCTCCTTGCAGAGTTCCTTGCTTGCTAAGGATAGATTTGCTAGTTCAAGGCAGAAACTCTTGCTTCCCGTGGCCTCTTATGGCCAGAGGATAAATCAGCAGGCTAAATGGGAAAACAAATGTACAAGACTCTACACGGTGAGTTTAAGGGACATATCAGATATCCTGACAGGGTTACTTTCTCATACCAGCCATGGAAAAAGTGTTTCCAGGCTCTTAATAAGAGATTCTTCAATACCATTCCCTTAAAACCTATGGAGATTCTTAAGTCATACAGGCCATGGTTGTCCCAAAGGTGCTTTTTTTACCCAAAGGGGACTGGACCTTCCTTTGTTTTTCCTTGAAGACATTTTGCTTCTCATCTGAGAAGCTTCTTTGGTTCTGATGACAGAATTGAAGAATTTTTTTTTGGATGAGAAGCAAAATGTCTTCAAGGAAAAACAAAGTCCAGTTCCCTTTGGGTAAAAAAAAAAAAAAGCATCTTTGGGACGTTCCCTAAGGAACTGAAGACCTCTCTGATCTTGCAACACTCCCTAAAACATCTTAAGAGAAAAACCTCATGAGGCTCGTGTGCCTCTTCCAAACGAATGTTAGAGCAATAGTAATGAGGATTCTATCTCTCCAGGGTCCCTTCAACCCTGAAGACTGCTAGCTCTAGCTTCACCATCTCTTCCCGGACACCCCTACTCCAGAGCTGTAATTCCTTCCCTCCCACCTGCCCACCCCATGCTCCATCTGTGCCAATCTCTTATTCAGGATACTGGAAATAAACAAGCCGGAACCACAAAAGCTAAGAAAGAACCGGAGTGGTCCAATCCAGGTTCCTCCATGTCTTGGTTTCACTTGGTTGGTCAGATAGGTCTGGACCCAGAAGTAAAGGATGCCAATCACAAAGGCCAAGAATGCGCCTGTCACGTGGACTTCCAGTTCGTTATATTGCTGCAAAAGAGGGAAAGACAGAAGGGTCATTCCATGTCTTTAAATGACGAGGAAGAAACTTAACAGATAGAACAATAATTATATAGATTGTGCAATCAAATACAGGTAGTCCAAGGACTGATGATCACAACGGAGCTTAAAATATTTCTGTTATTAAGCGAGACACCTGTTAAGCGAAATTTGCCCCGTTTTACGACCTTTCTTTCCACAGTTGTTAAGTTAGCAATGCAGTTATTAAGTGAATATGGCTTCCTCATTGATTTTGCTTGCGGAAATGGCGCAGAATGTGATCACATGACCCTGGGACACTGCAACGGTCATAAATATAAGTCAGTTGCTAAACATCTGGATTTTGTTCATATAATCAAGGGGTTGCTGCGACAGTTGTGTGAAAAATGGTCCCAAGTCACTTTTTTCAGTGCTGTTGCAACTTTGAACAGTCGCTAAACAAGTTGTTGTAAAGTGCTACTTCCCAGCTTCAATTGCTAGAATTGTCCCAGAGGGAAAAACTTTAATAGCCTTTAATACTAATTTAAATTAAAGGAATCATTGTGTATGCCACCTTGACTTAGAGTAGACAGTTGCTTAGCAAGTGTTCTAATTTACGACTGACCTCCCCAGAGCTACTTGACCTGTTTTTGGAGTTTGACAGCCATGCTCTCTCTCTCTCTCTCTCTCTCTCTCTCTCTCTCTCTCTCTCTCTTTCATGATCAGTTACAACATCCCACACAGTCATGTGACTGAAGTTTTCTTTTTTTTTTTGCCAGTTTCCCACAATTCCTTCTGATTTCCAGTTAAAAATGCCCATTGGGGAAAAGGGACTTGTTTAACAACCAATGTTCACTTAATGACCATGGTGTTTGCCTAACCTTAAACACTGAAAAAGCCATTTTTCTATTTTCTTTTAAACAGATATCTCTTTCTTTCTCCTGCCCATCTTTCTCTCATCTCTTTTTCTTTCTCCCTCTTTCTTATCCCTCTCTCATTTTTCTCTCTGTGTCATCACTCTCTTTTTCTTTCTCTCTTTCTCATCTCTCTTTTTCTCATCTCTCTCTCTCTCTCTCATCTCTCCCTCTTCCTGTGGTTGGGGGTGGGTGGGGGGGAAGGAACACCTGAACTGATGCTGGGTAGTGGGAATCTGACTAGCCAGTACTGAAGACCAGGTGGCTGGCAGGGAGGTGGGGCAATCCCACGGTCTCCCCAAAAATAACGCTTCTGGTGAGGAGGAAGAGAAGCACATTGGGAGGAGACTTGGTGGGTGTCAGAGGGGTGGTGAGCGCTTCATGGCACCTGAGGGGGTTGAGCCTCCCTGCTCCCAATTGTTGGCAGCTTCCTGCCGTGCTAACAGCACTCCACCTGGCTGCTTCCCTCCTCCTCCTCCTCAGCCCCATACACACAGAGCAAACACTCACAAATTTCACGGTGCTGGAGGGACTCGCCCACGCACCGATTCCTTGCGGAAGATCCTCCTGGTGCCTTGGGGGCATGCTCTACCAGAGAAAGAAAAGAATTGCCAAACTTTTCTTCCTCCCTTCCCTTCACAGAGGAACTGCTTGAAAGGCAGCTCCTGTCGCCTGGCTGTCCGTTTATGGTCTCTCCCCCCCCCCCGTCACCCCCACCCCACGTCAAAGTACCTTAAAGGGGCAGGCTGTGGCAGCTGCCTTCACGCTGGAAGGGAGGAAGAAAAGTTCGGCAACTCTTTTCCTCGGGCATACACACACACACACACACACACACACACAGAGCAGGCACACGTGGCGCTGGAGGGACTCGCCCACACGTGGACTCCTTGCAGAAGATCCTTTGCAATGTGCACGGTGCCGGAGGGACTTGCCCATGCACAGAAGATCCCAGCCTCATGTGTCCATACTCTGTGTGAATGCCCGAGAAGGAGGAAGACAAGTTTTTCTTCCTCCCTCTCTTCTGACACACACTGGCCAGGCAGTGTCATGTGGAGTAAGTGTCCTCCCAGCCAGCGCAGCCATGGGGCTCCAACCTCATAAGTTTGCAGATACCCCAGGATTCCCAGCTCTGGTTGCAAGAACTGCAGACAGTCTTCCCCACCACATACATCTTCCTCCCGCCACCCCAGGTGAGGCAGGAGGCCCGACGGAAAGTGCCAGGCCCAAAGACATCACCCTACACGACGGAGCCCTTCCCGGGGAACAAAAAAAGAACTTGTTGCGCATGCGAGCGACGCTGTGCATGCGTGATAAGGACTGACTGGGCAGTGAGCGGAGAAGCGGGCCCATTTTACCGGTTCTTCGAACTACCGGGAACTGTAACAGACTGAACCGGTAGAATCCCACCCGTTTACAGCCCCCTCTAAGTAGTTTAGAATCATCATATTGCCCCCCCCCCAATAATCTGGGTCCACATTTTACTGATCTCAGAAGGATGGAAGGCCGATTCAACCTTGAGCCAGGCAGGATTGAACTGCTGGCAGTGGGCAGAGGCAGCTGCAACACTGCATTCTAACCATTGCGCCACCAAGGCCTTGAATTAAGCTGTGGGGTAGTGAGACTCAATGTAGATCAGCTTCAAAAGGGGGAGGAATTTTTTTTAGGTTTAGGGACTGAAACTATGCAATAGTGTAGAAGACCCCTGACTTTCTATCTATGGAGATTCTGTCTATCATTTCTGAGTAGATTTCTATCTATGGAGATTCTGTCTATCATTTCTGAGTAGATTTCTATTTATGGAGATTCTGTCTATCATTTCTGAGTAGATTTCTATCTATGGAGATTCTGTCTATCATTTCTGAGTAGATTTCTATCTATGGAGATTCCTTGACTTTCTCTCCCCCCCACCCACCCCCGATCTTTTTACTGGTCTCAGTGGTAGCTTACCTGGAAATTCCCCACTAATGAAGCACCAAAGGCACAAAGTACACCTAAAATAAGTCCAAGTAGATTCAGACGGGAATGACAGCCATAATCTCGGATTTGTTGGTACTTCAGAAAGCAGATCACCACACCTGAAAATAACAATGGGATAAATTTCTATCATTTTTTTTTCCTTTTGGCCATATAAATTTATGCCAAGCCATGGTTTCTTTAAACATGGTTCACTGAAAAAAAAAATCACCTTTGGTTGGTTTGTTCAACCCTTAAGCATGGTGAAAAACTCACTCAAGAAACACCAACAAGTGGAAATAGCGCCTCCTGTAGACAATATAGTAGAACTGTACTTAGTTTATCATAGCAAAAATGCAGGAGTCAGAGAGCACCTTTTCTAAGTAAAAATTTGTATTAAAAGGCATAAACTCTCCAGAGCTGAAGCTGAGCTAATGCCTTTTAATTAGATTTGTTATTCAGAAAAGATAATGCCAAACTGTTGATTTTTTTTTTCAACATGGAAAGAATTTGCTGAACATTTTATTATTTCAAAGCAAGTATAGCAGAAGATAAGAGGGAGGGACCTTGGAGGTCTTCTAGTCCAGCCCCTACTCAAGCATGAGAACCTGTCCTACACCATTTCAGATAAGTGGTTGCCTAGTCTCTTCTTTAAAACCTCTCGGGATGGAGCCCCAATTTCTGATTTCTGAAGGCAAGCTGCTCTACTGGTTAATTGTCCTCATTGTTAATTCCAGGTTGCTTCTCTCTTTGGTTAGTTTTCAACCAAAATTGCTTCTTGTCCTGCCCTCTGGTGCTTTGTAGAATGATTTGACCCACTCTTCTTTGCAGCAGCCCCTTAGCTTATGGATGAGTCCCTGGTTGTATTCAAGAGCAAGAATCCCAAAGTTACATAGATCAAAGTGTTGATCAAAAACAGTTTAAGTATCTATAGAGATTCCAGGGGAGAATTACTTACAATTGCAAGATAAGAAAGGAGACTGGAGAACTAGTCACAGGGTGAGGGGGCTACAATAATTTTCTTTGAAATGCAACAAGGCACCTTTTATATAAGAGAAATGCCAAAATTGTTATTCTGACAAGTTGACCTTGCATTTAACTGCAGAAAGACGAAAGATAAGGAAGCAATCTTTGCCGGTCTCCTTGAATCTGCCTTTCACTAAAAACATACATTCTACTGGCAATAACACTTCACTGGAAACTTTGACCCAACTAAAAGAAAGTTACAATTAATTGAATTAAAGAACACATTTATCGATCACAGCTTCTGGATTCATGCAGCACAATAAGCCATAACTGTGTGTAAAGCTTGAGGACTGTGTAACATGTTCAGTATTCTGAAATCCTTGACTGTTTCTTTAAAAAAAAAGGAGCTCTACAGAAGGAATAGATCCTAAGAAAAACAATTTTAGCAGGTCATCCTGGCTTCTTCTGAAAGGGGTGAGAGGTCGTCAGGATTCCCATATTCAGGAGTATCCATTTTAAGAGAGGGCAGATTGAACCTGTTTACTGAATTGATTGATGTATTAAGGTATTAACTACATGGTCTTGTAACAATTTACAATAAGAGGAATAGATGGAAATACCTTACCTAAAAAGGCTCCTAGATTAAGAATTTGTCCAAACACACAACTCTGGGGTGGATAAGCACCGCACGTGCTGAGAAATGAGAAATTAGGAAATTTCACATAGCTAGGTGCAATTTTAGAAGCTAAGGCTGTTTTCCTAGTTGCTTCAGAAATCCCCATCCCAATATGTTATGTTCAAATTGGCCAAAGACTGACTTTCTCCAGACTGGTGCTTCGGTTATGATTCTCATCAATTTACTCCTGTAGTAAAGCTTGATTTAAAAAAAGAAACAATAGTTGATTTTTCTAGTATATATTTGAATGTTTTCTGTGTAAAATAAAGTTGACACAGTTTATAGCTTGGGCCAGGATCTCCAAATTTGGCAAATTTAAGACTTGTAGACTTCAACTCCCACACTGGCTGAGGAATTTTGGGAGTTGAAGCCCACAAGTCTTAAAGTTGCAATTTTGGAGACCTCTGGCTTAAGCTAGGGCAGATAAAGGCCCCCTTTTATCAGGTGGCCCTGTTTGTCCTCTCTCTCTCCTGCATCATTTGAAGGGTAGATAGTTTCTACTCAAATTTTCCCAAGATCAAATGTAAATGTAAAAGTTAATTATAATTTAGGTTTGTCAGATTCTTAAGCAAATTTGGATGAGCAAGGTGATTTACATACCATAACTCAACTGGCATGTGATTTATTCACATACATTAATTAATAACAATAAAGTACAGGTAGTCCTCAACTTACAACCATTTGTTCAGTGACTATTTGAAGTTACAACAGCACTGAAAAGGGGGATTTATGACCAAGTCCTCAACTTATAACCATCACAGTATCCCCATGGTCATGTGATCAAAATTCAGCCACTTGGCAACTGGCATTCATTTAAAAGAGTTGCAAAATCCACCATTTGCCACCTGATTTGCTTAATGACTACATTATTCACTTAAATGCAGTTATTTGCTTAACTGTGGCAGCAAAGGTTGCAAAACTGAGTGTGGCTCACAAAAAATCACCCTTGCTTAGCAGTGGAAATTTTTATCCCCAGTGTGGTCATAAGTTGATGACTTAAGTTGAAGTGTAGGCAAAACACTTCTTCCACCTATCCAAAACCCTTTCTTAACCATCTGTCCACTTTATCCTAAAATCCTCCATTTTTTACTCGCTTACATTTTTACCCCTTTTGATTTAGGACAGCTATCCCAAATCATGGCGATTTCCAGATATGTGGACTTCAACTCCCAGAATTCCACAGCCAGGCATGGCCACTAATGAGAATTCTGGGAGTTGGAATTTAAGATAGTGTTTCCCAACCTCTGGTATGAAATTGCTAAGGTTCAGAAACACTATCTTAAATCATAAGTGACAAAAATATAAGCAGGGAAAGAATTTGGAGTGGCTGTTCTATAAGACAGGAGCAACTACAAAAAAGTACTTCACCTCTACCAGTGATAACTTGGCCTTTACGAATTGGGGAAGAACAGGATCAGAACAGAACAAGATTCTCTGGAAAATTGTTTGTAGGTTGGTGAGGTAACCTCCCCTACCTGCCTCCCCAAAATACTTGAATTTGGAATTTTTCCTCTTACCTGATATATGGAAAAGCTTCTGTGATGTTGACGGAGCCATTTGTAACTGCCATGGCAAATCTGAAGAAATGGGAACCTGGTGAGACAACTAGAACAATCTTACTGAAAGTTAGCGTTATTCCCAGCTAACTTAGACAATATATTGCAGGCACATTTGGGAGTGTCAAAATATGCAAGTGATGGGTGTGAAATCCCCATGGAAGGCCCGTTATCTTTAATGTGCATTTTCTAAAGTAGGCAGGGTTTTGTTGTGATGCCATCTTCATGGCTTTCTTCCCAATAAATGTTGCTGCTACATAATGCACATTACAGCTGTGCACACCTTAGTAGTGTGTTTTGGACTGTGTGTGAACAAAGCAGCTTGTTTCACATGAAACTTTGCCCCACCATTAAAGTTAGCATGACTCTTTAAACACCAACACCTTTTTCACACTCAGGCAAAAAAAAATTCACTTAACTATCTTGCTTAGTAACAGATATGTTGGGCTTAATTGTGGTAGATTATCCAAATATACAATTCTAGTACAGATCATCCAGCATTTCCCCCAGCAATGGTTTCTCAGATATATGTATTTTTAACACAAATCAGCTTTTTCTAATCTGAAGCTCTTCAAATATGAGATTTGATGAGATTTCTAAGAATGAAGACCTGAATATCAGAAGTCCAAGTTAATATTAATCTACCAGGTGAGCTACCAAGGAGAAGGATAAGAATTTGTCACATAGCCAACATTATACGGAAGACATTTTGACTCAGCATAATGTTAATCTTGTTACTTCAAATATCTGGGATTATTAAAGGCAGCACCATTTGTGGTTCAAGCTGTAGTTCTGCCAATGACTCCTTAGCAATTGAAGCCCATTCACCCTATTTAAAACTTTGCCATTTTTTGAAGTGCTAGAGGAACTGTACTGCCAAACAGAGACAACAATTCTCACAGAATTGCACAATTATGCCAAAGTAAGCCAATTTACTCCAATTATAGAGCATTTTAACAGAAAGATTCTTTGTGGAAAGATGATTAAACTGCCTAATTAAAGATTAAAGTAAGCCCTATTTTGTACCATTAAAACATTAACTGAACAGGCTAGGGTGACGCCATGCCTGCTTTTATTAACATATCCATCTTATTGTGTAACATCTTATTATGCATCATATTGTTCCTTCAACAAAGAAAATTAACACAACTTACTTAGAATGGCCACAGATGAAACTATTGTAATAGTTAAGAATGGAAGCTAGCAGATTTAGTTATATGTTAGATACGCCTCATTTTGGGAAGGCAAAAGGTCTCTCCTATAGTAACGTGTCAGAGCTTTTATAAGAATCCATTTTCCTAGATCCCAGAGAAAGAACAAAGATTCCCATCCATTGTTAGAGCCCAAGAAACTTGCGAGCCTTTCTTTGGAGCTCTTGCCTCACCCACTATTCAACTGTGGGCTATGCTGTCTTTTATTTTGGCAACATGTCTTCACCCAGTTCCCCACAATCTTCATGAGGCATGAATCCAGGAAGTCAATTAGACTTTTCTGCTACCTCTGAGCTTCCCATCCCCACCCAAAACACAATCTAATTTGTGCTTTACTTCTAGTGTTCCAACCAGCCCTTAACCTCAACTACTTGCCCCACCATGCATTTATTACTCACACAACCCAGAAGCCACAAATGCCCACTGCAGCCAGGAGCACCGGAAGCAGAGGCCAAAGCAACATGGTGATTGTATACCTGAAGGCAAAGAAAAAAGAAAGAAAAAAAAACCAGGAGAAGACAATTAAATGTGACCTCAAGTCACAGGAATAGGATTGAAGGGGGAACAAAATGGGATCAACCAGACAAGAGCCTATATCCCTGAATTCTATGGACCTCCTAGATAATAAACATGAGATAAAATAATTACAAGCCAGGTTTCCTGGAAGCCTTAATTAAGCCCATCGACAAGGTGATTTCCTGAGTCTGCTAAGTCAAGGAAGTCTCATCAGCCCTCTGCAAAAGGCTTCTGATTTGCAAGTGGATGCCACGAGAAATAAAGAGGGAAAGCAGGGAGGTTTAAATATCTAATTACAATTATATGGGTAAAGGTTTAAGGCCATTCCTCTGGCTCAACAGCCAACCAGCAAGGCTAGCTTCCTGCCAAGAATGAAAACAAAAGATTTTTTTCCCCTCATAGCTAGGGACCATGAAAAATTGCACTGAAATCTAGGTATACTATTGGGGAACTGGCACAGTTCCGCTTACTATGCTGTTAGACAACATGCAACATGTGTCCCGTTGGGGTCTTTGGAACAGATAATGGGAGAATTGAATACTATATTTGATTAGCCAAAAGATACAGAAGGAATCAGATATTTTGAGCTTGGTTTCTTTTTTGAAACTTTGGACTTAAGGAATATGGAGAATTTCCTTACCCTGGAGTTATCCGCTTGCTGTAGTGTTCAGGGTCCGTCCCCCCCCATTCAGGATCATAACTCTCTTGCAGAAGGAATGAAAGTATGCCAGGGTGTTTTCTAATCACACACCCAACTCTGGGCTCCTCAGCTGGGGCAAAGGGCACTGACAGTGCTATCAATCTAAGATTTTTGTCCCGGCAAAAGCTTCATTACATATGTAACTGACAGCAAAAGCAAAATTTATTTATACTTTATCAAGTCCTGGTGCTCTTGTAAGAATCTGCTCATTTATTCTTTCAGGAGGATCCCTCTCTGTACTGATAGATTCTAGATAAATGGGAGCAAACCCTACAATCCACAGTCAATATGGTCACTGGCTATAGTTCCTTAGAATCTGAGGAATTAAAAGTTCAGAATTTTTAGAAGATCCCTCTGTTGGGAGCCTTAAATACATGGATATGGGAACCCAGGTTCTTGTAGGATTAATTAATTTTGCATGAAGGCAGTTGATTTAACATCCTCATTCATTGCAACTGTTGAGTTTAGCACAGTTGTTTAGAATCTGGGAACCATGCTAGGGGAATTAAGCAATCATGGTCCCACATTGCAATCTTAAAGGGCCACAAAGATGAAACCTAGCCAGGATTCATTTGCATTTGCCTCATTGTATGTAATCTACTTTTTGATTGTGTAGCCCTCCCAAAGTCTGGGAATCTGCATCTTTGGGAGAAGGTAATATTCTGCTGCCAAGTTTGCTAAAACTCTGGTTTTTTCCACTATTCTTGACAAATGACTATTATTTATATCTTGAAGAAGTGAAAGGTGAAATGCATTCAAATAAACAGGAAGGGAAGGATTGGTCTCCACCTCCATCTTCCCTAATCTGGTTCTTGGTTGATGTCTTGGATCACAATTCTCATTATCCTTAGTTGCAGAATGGCCTGTGGATTGAAGATGATGGGCATAGTATTTAGTCAAAGGGTGCAAGAATGCACCTAAATGGAGAAGGCTGCTTTTAGTCCAACCCCTGCCTTCTGACTAGTACCCAAAGAGACCCTTGACTTAGCCACACTCCCTTTCCTTAGTAGTAAAATTGTGTTCTGAGGGGCTGACAGATTTTGCTCAAGGAATGTCACTCACTGCCCTTCATGCAATATGATGTTACAATTCCTTGGTGCTGGCACAGATGTAACCTGCAGCTTACATGAAGCCAGTGTAATTTTTCTTGAAGGAATGTAGGAATCTTGAATTTAAGAAACTGGATTTGCAGCAACACATGGAAGGCTGATCCAGGTAAAAAGATGGTGGGGAACATTTTGTCACCTACGAATCAAAAGACAGTGATTTTAGGACCCGAAAAGTGAATCTGCGTAACCTAAGAGTAGCCAACTAATCTGATTTTTAAGACGCGTCACTGCAGCTAAGTTCATGAAATGCATTTTTCTAGGGGGGGAAATGGCTGAATTTGTACAGTCTGCTAAACTGAAACCAAGTGTTAATACTACAGACAGAGCTGCATTTTTTTTTTTTTTTTTTTTGCTAAGGGCAAACAAGCAAGCCATATTATGGCTTTGTTGCATGAACTAGGCCAGTTGTGGTTTATTCTATAAATCTGGCCATAAAGATGAAAAGCCATGGCTAGTACCAACTGAATACCACCAGAACTAATCATACAGATCTTTATTAATTACATTTTTGTACTTTCCAATCTACCCAAAAGCAATATTGAGAGGTGTACAAATCTGCTATACTTTTCAATAAAGAAGGAATGGAGGGATGGATGTTATTATACTGTAATGTGATTAGTATGTGACAAACCTAATCACTCCAAATTACAAACCATTATTCTGTGGCTTACTATTGTTTAGATTAGGTTAATTATATCACTAATGTGTTATTTTATATTGTAACACTGATAATGAAGGGATGGTGTATCTTATATCTTGAAGAAGTGAAAGGTGAAATGCATTCAAATAAACAGGAAGGGAAGGATTGGTCTCCACCTCTAGCTTCCCTAACCTACAATGTTTACTGATGAGTCTCAAGTGTTCACATACTTCTCTTCCCTATTATTTGAGAAGCAAGGAAGGTAAATGTGTGTTTTGGGGAGTTTGGCTAAACCAAATTTCCTTCAATGTGGGAAATTAGGGCTTATTCTAGTTAGCCAACAAAGGAGGACTTGAATCGTCATTTGATTTTGGTTCTTAGACTACTGTTACCAAAATAAGGAAATTGCATAGACAGAGAAGTTAATAAAGGGAGGATATTCAAAACAATTTGCATATCTGAATAAAACAAAGAAGACTTTAAGAAGAGACTTACCACCAACTTAACAAACTGTTTTGCAGTATGTTAATTATTCTGCTGGGCAATGTCTAGACTCCCTATCTTGCATATTGTAAGACTGTCCCTAAATGGCAGAGTTCTGGAGAAGCAAGAATCTTGTACAATATTTTTGCAACTGGGTTAAGGAGATTTTTTTTCCCACTACTGGACAACAATAGAGAGAAAACTCACTTAACTGTCTCACTTAGCAACAGAAATTTTGGGCTCAATTGTGGTTGTAAGTTGAGGATGTATATATTTCTTCTCCCATGAGGATCACGTAAGCCATCCAGAGTCACCGAAAGTGAGTGGGACGACCATATATGTAAATTCTCTAAATAAATAAATAATTCTGTCGTCTGCCAAAGCCAAGAGAACATCTAGGGGAAGATACTATATTGTAGGAGGCAAAATAAACTAAAATTCATACACAGAAATATAACCAGGTCAGTGTTCTCAGATGTATTTTGTACAAATATAAAGGGATAATTTGGAAACATAAGAGAAAAGCCCAGCTTTCATATGGTTTATAAACAACTATGCTTGCAAAAGTAAAACTGGAGATTTAAAAAGAGCAGGCATTTTTAAATTATCCAGTATTTTTTGTTTCTTTTCTTCCAGTGCAACAATTAGAAAAGGGAGAAGACTGGAAAAATGCTAATAACAACAAAGTTATGTCCTCTTTAGTTATGTGTTGAGCTGAATGTCTCTGGGATAGTAGCACCCCTTAATTGTGATTTAGAGCTTCAAACTCACTGGAGAATTCTGGGAGTTGAAGTCCACTCATCTTAAAATCCATGAGATAAGAGAAACACTGTTAAAAATCACACAACTAATCACTGCTACAAATATCAGAAATAGGGGTAGGATTTTATAGTGCCCAAAGGACATATAGGCTTTTCTCCTTTTGGTCCTAATTATGGACCACACATGCCCTGGCAACTTTTTTTTTATCCAAGGCCTGTGAGTGAAAGAAGCTCCTACTTTTAGTTCTGTTGCTGTTAAAGCACTATTTTTCCCTCGTGGTTGACATTGTCCAAGGGCAGCCTCAAAGTATGCAAAATTCATCAAGCTTTGCTACCCATTATCTTGGGAGGGAAGTGGTGGTATCTGAGAACAGGTGCAGGGGAGTGTCAACAATTGGGATAGCAAAGTTGATGACAGTCCAGCTTCTGCCAACTCTAGGATGGTTGGACAGCACTTTGATTCATTAATGGAGAAAGGCCATAAATATGACTATTAAAGAAATGTCCTATGTTAGTTAGTGATGCCAACAGGGATGATAGGGAGTGGCTAAGAAACTGAGGTAATATAAAGTTTGGTCTAGTGAAGGGCTGTTAAACTCCTGGCCTGCAGGCTGGATGTGTCACATGCTGGCCACATCCATGCCCGGTTTAGCGTAGGGGAAAAAAAGTCCCGATATGTCATGTGATGCTGCCATGACGACATGAGTTTAACATCCCTAGTTAGTGGTTTAGGTTGCTGGCCTAGAAATCAGGGAGATGGTGAATTCTAGTCCTGCCTTAGACATGAAAGCTGGCTGGGTGACTTTGGGCCAATCACCAGAAGACTATGAGTTCTAGTCCCGCCTTAAGTCTGAAAGCTTAGGTAACTTTGGGCCAGCCATTCTCTCTCAGACAAACCCACCTCACAGGGTTGTTGTTGTTGTGTGGGAAATAGGAGGAAGGAGTATTATATATTTTCTCTGCCTTGAGTTATTTATAAAAATAATAAAGGGGAAATAAAAAAATGACGGTGATTTAATTCTACTGAGAACTAGTCAAATTACATTAACAAGCCTCTCCCCAGTTCTCCCTCTGGGATAGTAAATGTGACTTTTTATCATTAAAAGTCATTATTGGAGTGGAGGAACATCTGGTTTGTAGGCTGGATCTGCCCTACCAAACTTCCCCATCTAACCTGTGCGTTTTTAGGAAGCAGAAATTTAAAAAATGAATGGGGGAAGTGGGCTTAATGGAGAATGCCTTGAGTGCTCTCGT